TTACCCCTAACCCTAACCCTTACCCCTAACCCCAACCCTAAAGCCTAACCCTTACCCTTACCCCTAACCCTTACCCCTAACCCCTGACCCTAACCTTTACCCCTAACCCTAACCTTTACCCCTAACCCTAACCCTTACCCCTAACCCTAACCTTTACCCCTAACCCTAACCCTTACCCCTAACCCCAACCCTAAAGCCTAACCCTTAACCCTTATCCTAACCCTTACCCCTAACCCTGACCATAACCCTAAGCCTAACCCTAACTCCTAACCATAACCCTAACCCAACCTTTTTTTTTTAGTACTTCTAAACTTGAATAGTGTCTGGATTTTTGCCTTTATAGTATAGACACAGTTATTTCTGCTGCTTCTATTTCTCCTTCATCTCCCTTTTTAAAGACTATGAGCAGGATTACTTTAATCCACGTTCATGCCAACCAATTATTGACAAAAATCCCAAATTCAGCCCCGTCTTTGATTGAGCTTTCGGTGGTTTTCTAACGTTCAGAAAGCGAGCAGAGTTGCGTTGCCTAACCGAGGCGGTTGCCTTCCTTCCTCCCTGCAGGTAGCTGTGACCCCACAGCTGAATGTTGCTGATCTGTGGATCCTCGGCCAACCAACAACACACAAACCCAGCCCTGTGTTTGTTTTGATGAGGCCGCCCTGACGGCGGTTTGGAATTACTGGATTTCCTTTGACTCTGTGGCTCTTTTGCTTCAAACTGGCTCTGCACAAATCAGACTAAATTAATCAAACTTAATTGTTTTGTGATTCCCTCCTTTTCTTTCCTTCTGGACACTGTCGACTCCGAGGGATCTGCTTCTCATTCACGTCTTTTTTAACCCTTTAAAGCCTGATCCAAGAATATAAAAAAAAACAGAAAATTACTTTTTTTGGGTTTGAATTCCTTATTTGGCCTTTTAACAAAATATGTAAAAAGAAAAAACAGAATTACATTTTTAATATTAATAATTTATTACTTTGCGATAAGTCAAAATGATTTTTTGTGTAGTCTTCTGCCCCCTGTTATCAGGTGTATCTGATTGTGTACAATAGGATTTTGAGCAAAGTTTTTACCATTAAATTATGCAAAAGGGACGCAAAACATTTCAGAAACCGTATGAATCAG